CAGAACTCCAGCCCGGGGGGGGGGGGGGTAGTAAGACCCCCGGTCCCACCCCACCCGGCTCCTTACTGCCCCTTCCTCTTCGGACCAGGGCCTGGTCTGCTCTCAGCTGCCCGGGAAGGGACATCCTGAGGCCACGGCCGGCCCCCAATACACTTCTCCAGCCAAGGCTGGGAAGGGGAGTCCCCTGCCCACACCCACCACAGCCACACCTGCCCCCCCCAGAGACCCCATGCAAAACTCCCAGGCCCACAGAAGCAAATGCCCCCCCCCCTCCAGGAAGGCGGAGACAAGCCAAGTTCCCCTATCAGGAAACCTGGTTTCTTCAACAACCCACAACCGACCAGGTCCAAGCCAGATGCTGAGCCATCATAAATCACGGTGACGGGTCTTGCCCCCTCCTCAGCCACCGGCAGGCAGAGCAGCCCGGCGGGAGCAGCCCCGTAACAGCCACCACAAACACCCAAGGCAACGGAGACGCAACCACGATCCCTTCCCCATGACCAGGCCTTGGAGGAGGTTAAGGACGCCATGCCTCCCCCCCACATCACACCCACACATGGGGCCTCCCACTTAGAAGCAGTTCTGCTGGGGAAGAGCCCAGGCCCACAAGGAGCCCGGTGGCTGAAGCGTCGAGGGGCCATCGTCCCCCAGCCCTTGGGCCGAGTCCTGCCAACCCCTTGGGCCCGATCCTTGGGAGAGCCGACCGCTGAGCCAGGGCATCCCGGGGGGACCTTCCCAAAGTGCCCACCCAGCTCAGAGGAGGGGCTGCAGCACTCACCCCCGGCCAGTGGTCGGTCCTCCTCTCGTTATAGAAACTGTGGCTCCGTCGCTGGGAGACGGGGAACGGGGAGCGCTTGGCGGCTGTGGCATCGTCACGGTCCACTCGGAGGCCCCCTTCCCCAAGGCCCTGTTAGGAGGAGACCCATCAGCTGAAGCAGTAGCCCCCACCCCCCACAAAACACCAGGCGCTCGCTGGAGTCTGGGCAGCCCTCCTCGTCCCCAGAGGCCTCCAGGTGGGCTAGATTTCAACTCCCAGGGGAGCCGGACCCCGCCCCCTCTTCCCCCCCCCCCAGCCCCATCCTCCCCAAGCCCCAGACGTACCCTTGTGCCTCCGTGGGAGGAGCAGTCCCTGGGCGACGGGCCTCCCTTGCTCAGCCAGCCCCCGGGCCTTTCGGGAGAGAACCGCTGGCAGACGGAGCTCTGGTCCAGCCTGGCTCCCAAGGGAAAGCTGAGCCTTGCTGGGCTCCGATGGGCCTTGTCTGGCGGGGAGCCTGGGGATGCGGTGGCACTGCTCCGCTCCGCTCCAGGCTGCGCTGCAGGAGGGCCCGTCTCCCAGACTCCGGCCTGGGGCTCAGCTCTCCCCCCAGTCTTGCAGTCACTGTTGGGGGTCCACCCGGGGGCCGGTGCCAGAGCTGCCCACTGCTTCAGACTGGCTTCCTTCCACAAGCCTCCCGGCTCCACACGGGCAGGGGGGGGACCGGGATCTCTGGCACTCTGCCAGGTGCCCCCTCCCTGCTCCCCGCCAGCGAGAAAGGGTGTCCTCGTCTTCGGGGCGGGGGGCTCTGCAGACCACGGCTGTGGCTTCTTCTCTGCGTCCGGCGGCTTTCCCCACTGAGGAGGGCTGCACTTCCCCTCTCTGGCCCTGGACTCCTGGGGGTGGTGGGTCTCCCGTGGATGGCTCCCAGGCGCACGGCTGCCCTCGGTGCCCGGCCCTTGGCTGCCCAGGGAGTGCTCCCCCCTGGTCTTCTCTCCCTGGTCAGCGCTGCAGGGGGGCTTCCCCGAGAGGCTGCTCCTGGGGGGCGATTTCTCCCAAGGGAAGAAGCTGCTCTCTCTCCGGCCCTCCCAGGCAGGAGGCTTCCGGGAGTCTCCCCCGTATTCTGCCATCAGCTCATCAATGTCCACCACTCTCGACCTGTAGTGATGGGGGGCCTCCTCCCCCTCCCGCTCCTCCACACCCAGACCGAGTGCGCCGGATCTCTTCTGCTGGCTCTCCGGCTGGAGGGGCGCCAAGTAGGAAGGAGACCTTGGCCCAGGAGAGAGGAGCGGGTCAGCTCTGGCCGGACGCCCTGCGGCTGAGGCCTCCGGCTGTCTCTGTGGCGGGTCCTGCTCTCCAGCCTGGGTTGGGGGAGCCTGAGAAGCCCCCGTCTCCAGATGGTCCGAGGCCCCCGTGTCTCCCCTGCGCCTGCTGAGAGGCCTGGCTGGGGAGCTCCCTCCCTCCGAGAAGGGAGGGGCTCTCTTGCAAGCGCTCGCATGAGGAGCCGCAGCAGCTCTGGGCGGGTTATTGATCTCCGAGATTTGGCAAGTGACCGCGAAGTACGTGGCCTTGGGCTCTGAAGGGGAGAGCGGCTTCTCCGGCTGCCTGGGCTCTGGTCCACAGGGGGTCTGGGAGCTTCCTTTGGCCGCTGAGCCCTCCTCCGCCGGGCGTGGGGTGCCTCTCCTGCTGGCCAACTGGGCAGGGCCCTGGGGGGTGTCCTCAAGCCTGGCCGAGCCATGGGGCAGCGTCTTCCTCCTCCAGCGGTCTGAACCTCTGGGAGCAGAAGCGTCGCGGAAGCTGCTCGCCCACCTCGCTCCGATGTTGAGCTCTGGCGGCTGCTTTCCTTCTGCCGTGGCCTCCCACTTTTCTTGGGCCGCTGCGGATCTGGTCGAGCGCCGCTCCTGCCCTTCAGAGTCCTCCGGCCCCTGAGGTGGCTTCAGGTGCAGGCCGAAGAGGAATCCTGGGCAGCTGGCATTTTGGCCCCGGCTGGTCTGCTGATCAAGCACGCCAACCCTACCTTCCCAGCCATCGGCCCCGGGCGCCCTGGCTCCAGCCCACTGCCGGGTGCAACCCAGTGCCTTGGGCCCCTCCGTTACCCCAGCAGGAGCAAGCCCCCTCTCCTTTTCGGTTTCCAACAGTGGGGCAAAGTTGCCGTCATCCTTCATCTTGGAAGAGGCCGCCTGCTGTCCGGCCCGATTTCTCTCTGGCCCGGTTGCTTCGCTATAGAAAGCAGCCTGGATCCCGGAGGCCGGGTGGTCCTTCAAGGGGCCTCTTCCTGGAGGAGAAGCCCCTCCCCAGGCTTCGCTCTTGCCATAGCCGCCGGCTCTCCGGTTCTCCTTCAAGTATCTCTGGCGGCGGAGAGTGACGGCCTTCCCTCCGGAGACGGCTGCCACTGCCTCGCTCTGCGCCCGCTCCCCCACCGTCTGCAGAATCTCGTACCTGGGCTCGATCCTTTGAGCCAGCAGGGAGTCCTCCATGCCCTTTGAAGCAGGCTGCTCCCCCTTCTCCCCCAGGGGGTCTTCTGCCCGCGTTGGAGAGCCTTCGTCCTCGGTCAAAGGCCTGGGATCTCTGAGTCCTCCGGCCTCCTTCTGGACGGAGGCTTTGGCCACCCAGCCATCTCCCAGCATTCTCTCCTTCCAAAATTCCTGAGCCCGGGAGGGCGAGCCTCCAAAGGGCACCCTTGGTGGCACCAGGGCCGGTTCGGGGCCAATCTGGCTGGCCACCACACTGTGTCTCTGCACGTGATGCTCAAACATGGTTGCCCTGACCGTCTTGGGGCAGGAGTCTTCAGTGGACGAACTGGACAACGTTCTGGCTTTGGGGCCGAGGACCACGCTGGGGTCTTCCCCTGGCACAGAGGCATCTCTTTTGGGGGGCTCCTCTCCGGACGGTGTCCTTGCCAGCAGCGGGGGCTTCCAGGGACTGCCAGCCATGCCGGCTTCTCCAACATCTGCTCCACCCATAGGCAGCGTCTCCTCCTGAAACAAGCAGAAAGATGCAGGGATGAGGAAGGTGTTTGGGGCACCTCTCTAACTGGCACCTGCCAGATCAAGTCTCTCTCTCTCTCTTTTAGAGCTGAAAACGTTCAGGAACACGATGTTATAACACCTCGGTCTTTTTCTTTAAATAGTTCATAGCAGTATATTTATTTATTTTTAATGCAGAGACCAATACGAAGTATATTACACTCCATCCATCCATCCAGTAACGTAGGTGGGCGTTTGACCCCTGGTTTAAGCAATCTCTTTAGATTTCAGGTTTGTCCAAAGATTGGTCCATTTCACAAAAAAACCGCACCAGACATCCCAGCAAATCTGAGAGCTCTACAAAAAATGTACATATTGTGGCAAATATTTACTAAACTGGCTATGCAAGCACAACTACCACAATCTCTTACACACACACCCCTGCACTTTCACTTGTGTGGATCAGGGCCAGTTAACCTGCACAATCCTTTGACAGATCAATGAATCACCCGGAGGAGGAGGAAAGCTTCCAGAAAGGGCTGGGAGGAACACGAAAGTCCTGTGGCCATCAGGCTGCTTAGAAAGAGCAGAAAAAGGGCCTGGCCCTTCCGTTAGCCTTGGGACACTACAATTGCCACAACCCACACGCTGGATATGGGGTTGTAGGAGACAGGCGCAACAGCCGGACCGTGGTCTAATTCAGTGGTCTCCAACCTTGGCAACTTTAAGACTTGTGGACTTCAACTCCCAGAGTTCCTCAGCCAGCTTTGCTGGCT